AAAAGAAAAGGTGAAGGATATCATGCTTTGTAATCCCAAGCTTTTGTAATAATATGCATAGCGGGCACAACCTGCTACAGGAAAACAAAACTTTTTACCTCTTTTGAGTGGCATGAGAGACTCTGCAGGGCACAGGATGGGAAGAGAAGCTGGCCAGTGTCTGACTCTGTGGGCATGTTCACCAGCTCGCTGAAGAGAAGATTGTTTTAATCTCATCTCACTCTTGTGCATTCAGTGCTTCTCACTGTGCTTTTCAGAATCGGTGGGTAGAAATGAGATAGAGCCCCATTTTGATGGGTATGTAGTGAGACCTTTTGTTCTCCTTGCTGTCCTATATTTTCTAACAGACCTGGAAGTCTTTGCATCATCCATATAATGTGTGTGGAGCCAGCTGACCTCCTCTGTTGACAGCTGATGCCCATGTTGACTCGGGACTGGCAGTCAGCAAGAACAAAATACCATTATCCCGTGTTAGCCAGGCTACAGTGGGTCTGCCTTAGGCTAATGTATAAGGCAGTAGGCCCTCCTCCCACCTTCTCTGTTCTCTGTTTTGTTAATATATCACAAAAGCCATTCTCAGATCTGCAGGAGGCTACAAGGAACATCTCGGCACTGCTGTGCGAAATTACTATTCTCTTGTGTCTCACCGCTGCTGCAATTGGTTTAGAGCAGCTGACTGGGAACCAGATTTCCTTTCCATGATCTCCTTACACACATAAAAAAAAAAAGACTGTTTGACAAATCTTACGCTGCCTTCAACATGGGCAGAAAAAGATATCAGTTCTTCGCAGAGCTGAAATCCTATAGTGAATTTTCTGAAACAAAACACAGTGGTCCTGGTGCTGAGCCAGTTTGTCTGCCTGGGCTCCCCAGAAGGGCAGAACCCAGATAGGATGCTGAAGAGCTAGGATTTCCCAGCAAGTTCATTTCCTCCTTTTGTCAGAGGAGCATCAGAACAGATGCATTAGTGAAGCATTTTGAGTTTTGAGACAAATCTTCACTCTCCCAGCTTAATCTATTTCCTTGCAAAATTCCCAGCCGCTTCTGGTAAGGAATTCTAAATATTACATTTGCTGGAGGATGCAGCATTCCTTGCTTGCAGAAGTTTGAGGTCTGATTCCATATGTGCAAAATGAGCTTACGCTTCTAAATCAGTATATGTTCTTTCTCAGCCGCATAGAGTGTGTATGAGCAGGGAAATATGTCCACTGAGTATGCCAGAGTCGAAAACAGTAGAGGAAGGGGAGGGAAAAACCTTTCTGAAATTTAGGTCAGGAATGGAGTAGGCCTTGCATCAGGAACTGAAGTAATTGCGCTATTGAGAGTTCACAAAATTCTAGAAACCTGTTGTTTTGCTCTGAACCTATTTCTAAGAGGCTATTGATTCCCTCCACTCTAAGTCTCAGCCCCCTGACAAAAGCATTCAGTGTAGCAGTATAAAGAGCAGCAAGCTATAATTTGCCAACAGGGCTGCATCCCTCAATGAAAGCTTCCTACGTGTCTATTGGAAGATTATCCTATCAAATCTCATGCTGTTCTGAAAGGTAAGCATTTAAAACATGACTAACACTGATAGATGCTATTATTCTATTTTATTCTCCAGCGTATGAGTAATGTCTCAATTATAAATGAGGACACATTCAGAAAGACATCATCTGCCTGCTGGGACGTGGGTTCCTCTGCACGGAAAGCTAATGGCAGAAGAGTCACCGCGGGGCGGCAGGTGGCTGTGTTGAATTAGGCAGCCATCCTGGGAGCAAGTTGTTCTCCAGTGCCAACTTCAAGCTCCAGCTGCTGCTGAGGCCAGTTTGTAGCTCTGTTGTTTCAGAGTGGGCTGGATGGCCCTCAGCACTGGAGTGCTGGAGTGCTATGGGGATGGCAATCTACTTGTGTGCCCAAAGTCCTGCAGTCAGGCTGCGGAGGTGGTGGTGGGGGAGAAATGAGGGGAACTGGCACAGTTGTGCATATCATCACCGGCAGAGCCAGCAGGCAAATGTGGACTCTTGCTATGAAGTTCTTTCAGGAACCTCCTTAAGCATGTGCAACCCTGCTAAATGTCATATCCTCTCAAAGCACCAGAGTTTCTTACGGCTGAATGCCACGAGACTCTGGGCTCTGAGTTCACGATAGTGGGAAATGAATGGGCTCCTGGCCACCTATCCTGCCTCCCCAGCCAGGGATACAGGTTTAACTTGGCTACATTGCTCTTTTTAATGCCAGTCAGGTGCAAAAACTCTGTACAGCGTACCTCCTTGTCTAGAAATTGTCCTTGATACCCTGCTATAAAGGATTCCTTGCCCTACCAGGTTCTTCTCCATCATGTGAAAGACAGAGTCTGCCATCATCTACCCTCTGTCTTCCTCCTCCCATAACACTAAGCATTTGCATCTTTTGGGTTTTCAATACAAGCCAAAAGCTTTGCCTCAGGAAAGGCAACCAGTTGATCTTGCTGTTGCAGTTTTTTGCGGAAAGGCTGCAGGTTTTGCAAGCCCCCTGGTATGGATAGCTGGGCCTCCCTGGCAGCTAGTGTAGCCCATCAGGTCCGTGAACTGTAACAAATCTGCAGAGGCCACTTTCAATTACTGAGCAAATAAAATGCCTCCTCTCTAATAAAAGCTTAGATACTTGTCTGCCTGATCAGCATGCCTAGGCTATTGTGTCAGCTCTTCAGGGGATAAAAATATCAGAGAGCTAGCATGCAGCAGTCTGAAAACAAGTAGCTGAAAGTCTGCCTTCCGGAGGTTGAGGGGGCCAGTGTAATGTAGGGAATGGGCCCTATTCCTTGTGCCATTTGGGAACGCTGCAACGGGACTTTCTCAGCGTCGCATTTCTGTTCCCATACAGCATTAGAAGAAAAGGGTGACCACGCTGAACCTGCTCTGGCCACATGGCCTTGCCATTTAGGGGCTAGCATGGAGGATAAGTGAGACATAGAGGTTGGAGGTGCTTACGGGAGCTACCATTCATGGTGACTTTCAGGACTGAGGAGTTTGTTTTGCAGAGGTCTAAAATATGTCTAGTTCCAGGGGGCTGCAGGTAGTGAAATTGTCTCATTGCCTAATTCAGAACTGGCTGGAAAAAAAAATATAGTTTCTGGATTCAGAATCTCCAGATAGTCCATACTAAGCCTCCAAATCTTCCTGCTAAAAAGAGATCCTGAAATACACATGTGCCCGTGGAAATGGTCAGTTTTGACAAAGTGTCCCATTTACATTTTTAAGAGCTGTCTTGCCCAGTTTTCTGGCTTTCCATGGCTCACGCTCAGGCTGCATGTAACCCAGGCCAGAGAGCCGCTGCTCAGAAAGGCGTCGCACTGCTCAGCCAGAACCTGCTGACCTTTCCTGAGGATGGTGCAACAGGGTGGCCTTGTCCTGTTCTGCTTAGCATCACTCGTTCCAGGTCCTTACAATCCTCTGTCTGTCCTTGACATTTAACTCTACTCTCTTCTGCCTTATGCAAAAGAAAATGAGATTTTTTTTTTTTTCCCCAAGTGGTGTTTTTTCCGTCATCTACCGTGGAGTGTTTTTTCGTTTATATTGTTGGAACATTTATTTCTCCTCCTGTTTTTATTTTGAAAAGAGAAAGAGAGTTTGCAACCCCCTTTTGTGTTATTAAGCTGAAAGGCCAATGATTTGACTGTGAGGCACGCTTGCACCTCCCACACTCGTGCAGTTGGTGACGCATACTGCAATCAATGGAGAGGGGATGAATAAACCCAGCATTTGCTGCTCGCCTGCTATCCCCAGAAAGAAGGAGGTGGAGGAGAGAGGGAGGGAAAACTCTGCTCCAGGCATGCCGTTTTAAGAACTGTTTTCAATATTGTTGAGGGGCGTTTGCCAAAATATCTCCAACACACGACAGGCCCTATTAGCCCTATGGGGTTAGGGTTGCATTGATATGAAACTTAAAGTAGTGCTGCAAGCCTGGCTTCAGCGCCCCTCACCTCACTGGGGTCTATTAGAGGCAGCATACTTTAAAATATATTGGATTGGGTTGCATGGTCTACAGCTCTGCTCCACCCTGTGCTTCTTACTGGCTCTGCCTGCACTTGTAAATGATGAGGTGAGGTCCCTCCATCTGTCTATGTACGACACCTAGCACATTGTGCATTGGTCCCAGTAAGGCTCCCAGTGATACAAGTTTGAGATGGTGAGTTTAATAATCTACCTTTTTGCCATAGTGATTTGTGTCTGGTTGTTCAACAGTATATCCCAGGCAAAGGAATTCCTGCTTTCCCTTCTGGGGTGTGAGTACACAGGGGCCCTTGAGGAATGGGAATACATGGTTCTGCTTGCAAAAATGGGAGTGTGTCTATGATGATGGGCAGTGGAAGTGCTAGTAAGTTGCCCAGGAAGACATGAGGTGGCAAAGGCTGAACTGCAAGATTTCTGCAGCTCATGTCTCCATGAAAACAACCCCAAAAACAAAGCAGCAAACCTGCTGCTGAGTACCTGGGATGTCCTGCGGTGAACCGATTGCTTGACATGGCTGAACGGAGGTGAGTCTGTGGCTCTGAGGACTTCCTATAGCACGGAAAGCATCAAGTCCTCCTCTTCCTTGGAACATGTGTTCTAGCACCAGGGAGTCTCCTTTCCTAGCAGGGTGGTTAGCTGAGACTCTGAATATATTGATGCTGTCACTTGATTTCTTTTCTCAGCACGGGTCTTGCCTTCCTGCCTGAGCAGCATTTCCCTGTGTGACAGTGAGCTGTCTCCAAGCGTGGTAGGTGCTGGGAGCTGATGTGTTACCAGGAGAGCTAGGGGCAACAGTCCATAGTGGGGTGAGAGGACATGGGGTCCTTTGCTCCTGCTCCTGTCTGTGCACTTCATGTTTCCGTGAGACAGCGCTTCCCTTTGAAAGACATCAGCCCTTTTTTGCAACTCTTGTCAAGTGTCACATCTTTAGTCCACCTTGGAAAGCTCTGCCTGTAACATGGATCCTAGCAGCTTCTCACTTGACACTGAATGCTTTGCTTATGTGTCCGCTCCCCTTTCTGGAAGGGAGATGAGGGAGTAGGGTGCAGCAAAACAGAAGGAATGACAGGGTAGCAAAGGGATAGTCTTGCAGGATGTGGGCACTGGGAAACTTCTGGCCACCCTTGCAGTGTCAAGTGGGACTAGTTTCCAGAGAGCACCTCTCCAGCAGATCTATGCCTTTGCCTTAGCCAGGGAAAGAAAATGGTGTTTCAGCGGCTGGCGTAGCTCATATATGCAGTTAGTGCCAGCCTTCAGAGCTGCCACGTTAAGGATGCGTCTTGAATGTAGCTATATTATAGCTGCATGCACATCACTCCTGGGCAAGTGTTTTAGGCCCCATATTTCATGCCTCAGACTATTTTTAATAATTAACACTTCACAATAGAGGAAATGGACAGCAGGCCATCATTTACACACTACATCAATAATAAATGGAGCAATGCCAAAACACATCAATAACAAGGTTGTTTGTTCTCGTCTCATATTCACAGTGATCCAGTCCCAGGGAGCCCAGGGAGGCTGAGCACGGGCATGTGAGCAGACTAAGCTACCATTAGAGGAAGTGATCTGCAGAACAAAAGGTGAGGGGAAGTAGTCTAGCACAAGACTACCCTTCAAAGAAGTTTCCAGTTGTACAAAGCCCTATGTACTATGCAAAAGCTTCATGTGTGCTATTTTCCTCAAGAAGCCATTTTTTTCTGCTTAATACTGCATCCCCTTTTTTTTTTTTCCTGGAAACTCACTTGAGCAAATGGCTTCTGACCTGGACTATAACAGACCAATTTATTACAATCCCAAATAAGGTTCTTTTCCCCAGACCCCTTCTGATCCTTTTGATGCTGGAGCCATCCTACTAACAAGCACAGCAGGTGCTGAAATGGCTGTGCTAACTGTGCCTCTGTAGGCTCCCATGTAGTGCAGGCCTGGCATGCAGGCAAAGCTCACTTGGCGTCTGCCTGCAGAAGACCACATTGACTATGAGTGTATTTACAATAATGTTTTCTGTCAGATCAGGAGTGTTCTGCTGAAGAAAATCTCCTGATCATACACACTTACCATGCTTTGGTTCACAGAGCAGTCTCAGAGCACATGAACAGTCTTGGAGCATATCCATTTCTTATGGACAAAACTAAGCTAGAACATGCACTGCAGGAGCACACATAATGCATGACCACAATTAATGGACATTCAGATCACAAGATCTGACTAGAACTAGTCCAAAGTAAAACCCTAAAATGTGTATAGCATGGATGTAGAGAAACTGTTTTGTTCTACAGACCCGCTGTTCTGGCACTGCACTACTGATTTATGGAGACATAGACAGTATCTGCCTGAAATCTCTTTGGTCAGTCCTTCAGCTGAGGAGAAACAGGTGGCTTGGAGCATGGGAAATGATTGCCTTAGCTCATATACCTGTTAGCTCTCATAGCTTCTCATTTCTTGTGGTCTTTGAACCAGTTTCCCACTTGTCTGTGTGTGGCTGCAGTAAGTGAAGCTTGTGGGTCTGTGCAATGCTCTGTTATTCTTCACTGTGCACGTAACTTGTGTCTTTCTTCTGTCCTGCATCAAACTGCACACACTTTCTGAGCTCCTCTGGTTCTAACTTTGGCCTCAATCAAACATGCTGGCAGTGTACCTGGCATTGATTTTCTTCTGCAGTTTATGTATATAAAATGTCTTCAGATCTACCTGAGCTATGCTGCAGATGTGTTTTCCAGAATTCTCAATGCTGAAAGCATTTTATTCACTTTAGCTGGGCTGTTTTGGTCCTTTCACATCAGTCACTCTGTAGCTCAAACTTCATTACTCGTACTGCACCATTGTTTGCCATTTAACTTGTTCCCCTGGATAATTGTCCTATTCTTGCTGTTTGGAGGCATACCTCTAAAATTAGACCTCTTGATGTCCAGAGATTTCTCCATTTACAGGAATCCTGCCCCAAAAGCCATCATCTCCAAAGGAGCTGTTGAAGATTCAGAGTTAAATGTGGATGTTTCAGCTTCATACCTCTAATTCTTTTCTAACTCAACATCAAGTAAAACCCAATATCCTTGCAGTTTGGCTACCACTATAGTTGTTGTCCTGTAGTTGGCTGCTTCACGTGCAATCCTAGCAATAGCATCCCTTCCCACTCTGTTCTCTTTGCAGGACCTAGCAAGTATTGTGTTTCTTTCCCATATCTCCACTGCTTGTGGCTGGTTTGTACATCAGGCTCTCTGTGCTGATTCTTATTTTGCTCAAGAAGAAAGTTTCTGTAGAATATAGAGATGGCACAACTGGGCCTTCTCCTGGCGCCTGCCAAGACAACCTCTTTTGTGTTACTTGCTCCTTACAACTCAGAACAAACATTAGAAAATCTCCAGGCAACTGGCTAATTCTGATAGGAAAAAAAACCCTCTTGTGCTGAAATTTTTCATTGGCTCAATTTGATTTCTACTGTAGGGGGATCCACAAAGATTTCCATTGGATGCTTATCTATTTTCTTGCTGTTTTTCTTCTTCTAGCTGCCTGCTGAGGAGAAGACAAGACTGCCCTAGGACTTGTTTCCAAAGTCCTCTGCTGCTACAAAAGGCACTTCTCCTTCTAGACTTGACTGGCAGAGTGGTTCTGGAGCTTGGCTGCATCCTCTTCCACAGAGAAGGTTATAAAAAGAAAGCCCAAACTTCAAACCAACCAAAAAAACCCCTTGAAACTAAACTCGATTTCTGACTCCCCTTTGAAACGGAAGTAATTTTCTTTCCATGTAGCTCTACCAATCGTCCTCTTTGCTGTCTGTTACATTAAACTATGCTACTCCGATGTCTTCTCGAGTCCTTGCAGTACACTTTTAAGTAGCTTCATGTGTATTTTAAGGCTCTCTGCCATTCCATTGCCAAGGATATTTTTAAATAGCCATTATTTTTGTTGGACATATGAAAAGCCAAGTTCTTTCTATTGCTGGCTGTGTAAATACTGTTCCTTAGGCTGTGCTGAAATGGCTGATGCCAGGATGCAGACAACGGTGTTTTTGGCACTGTTAGGAGGTGAAATTGTTCTTGGCAGGAGTAGCCCAGCTGTTTATTTCATCTCTACTCACAGAGAGGGGCAATAGGGGGAGGGAGGGATTAACAGTTGCTACATGGGAGAGAACAAAAGGAGAAAAATTAAGTTTGAGTGTTTTGGAGGAATTATAAACAGTGAAAAAACTTTGTCACTGCCTTTTCAATATATGGTTTATCTTACACTTAGCTTTGTCTTTTCTAAGGACTTGAACCTTCCTATACTTTGAATGAGTGTAAAATTGCTTGCTATTTGTGGAGCAGCCTGCTTTCCTCACTGTGGAATAGTATGAATGTTTAAGGAGGTTATTAGAACTGGTAAAGACTACCCAGACAGTCAGAAGAGGAAAATTTAAATTAGCCTTATAGCAACTTGCCCTCAGATATGACAGATTTACTAGGGATACTGCAAGAAAGGTATAATTACAGTTCATATAACAGTTCATGTAACTGTTCATATACAGCTCATATAACAAAATCAGAAGTAGTATGTGATCTGAATGGTCATAAAGATACAGTTCATACTGTCTGTTTATAAAAAGCATCATGGCCTGTTGCATGGCACTCTGGCTTGCAGTGATTTGATCAATTGAATGAATTGAACTTGTTTTAAAGTAGCATAGCTTGTCTAACCATAAAAGGTGTTCCAAGTTACATCCTGAAAGGTTAGCATAATTGATGGCAGCTTTCATTCTCATGATTTCTTCATATCAACTTTCTGGATGTATTACATTTTCAAGTAGCTTCAGATAACAATGGTTTATGAAGTGTGCTGCTGACAGTAAAATGTCAACACAGTCAATTCTCAGCAGATATCTGGTAATAATAAAAGGTACAAATACTAATGTGTTCAAGAATCTGTGGGTTAAGATTTACTGCTGCTTTGGCAACTTAGAAATAGCAAATACTAAAATTGGCAGTGCCTTAAAATTCAGGGTGTGAAAGGGGGACAACCTTTCATCTGACCTGGAGAGCCTTCCACTCTTGCAACTTCCAAGTTGCAAAGGTGCACATTTAGGAGTTGCTTCCTTTCAAATCCTTCTGTCTGATTTATGCCCAAGCAGTGTGCCCCCTCAGGTGCATCTTCTGGTTTAGCTTCATTGAAAAGATTTGTTTGGTCCAACTTATGCACTCCAAATTCAAATTCAAGCATGTTAAGTAGTGGATGACAAGGCTTTGAAAGTGCCCTCCTGATCCAGATTGAAATGTTAATGTAGATGCAGCACTGTTTGTGTCTTTAATGCTTCCCCAAGAATAAGGGAACCTGACTCTGTAAAGCTTGAAAGGCCATGACTCTGTGCAGTGGTTTGTTGGGGGAGGACAGGGGAGAATGACAAAGTAGCATAGACCTGATCAAATAGCAACAGTAGTTACCAAGCTCAGGACAGCTCCGTCCAGATCAGTACAGCCATCTCCTCTCCCTAACCTTCCCATTACTCATCTCAGCCCCCACTCAAACTACTATCCCCACGTTCATCTTTCTGGCTTCCTGTGCCAATCAGGTTAGACCCCTGTGGGTTTGTCCAACCTTCCAGCTCACTGAACTGAAATATTTTGCTTTTCTAAAATTGTTCCCATCCTGTCTGGGAGTGCTGCTTAGAGAAATTCTATTTAAATCATTCAGCTGCTAACCATATACTTTTGAGTAAAGCTGTTTGGGCAAAATTTGGAGATCATTATGGATCTTATCCCATGCAGACCACGTACCCATAGTGTTTTCAGGCATTCCAAGCTCGATCTTTCCAGAGGGCTGAGTCAGGAGTGTTTGTTTAAGTGATGGCATGTAAAACTAGTAGGAAGTGAAGACCATGTAAGAGTTAACTGGCATAGGCACTGATATTCAAGATCACAAGTGTTTCCTGCCACAGTGCCTGAAAAGAAATAGTAAGAGTTAGTGGTTACCAGCTTAATAGCTCAGCTGAGCTGTGAGGACAACATTCCCATAATTTATCTCACTTTTATTCCTGTCCATTGCCAAAACAAGGCTGACTGCACAAGGGAGTCCTGTGACCAAGCTTCTTGTGTAGGTTGCCTGAGGAAGGAGTTAAGTAGACAACAGCTTTCTCCTATAATTAACTTGCAAAGGAAAGGCTATTTTTCAGAAGTGCCAGCTGGGACAAGTGAAGGAGACCATTTTCCTACTGAAAGCACAGTACTGTCAGGGAATAACTGATCACAAGAGAATCCATCTGAAAAAGTTGGAAATTAACTGGGAGGGCAGTGAAAATGCTGTTCTGCACCTTGCAGCTGCTAAAGAGGCTTCTTTGCCTCACATCACAAGACCTAGTTCCTGTAACAAATGCAATTCCTGCAGCTATTGTGCATAGAGGGACTATCTTTTGGACATAGGACCAGAATTAGATTAGACCCTGCCCTACAAGAGTGTTAACACAGGTGGGGTCAGCATACTCACCATGTGCTGCAGGATAGAGGGAGCTTTTGATGGGGCAAAGCTATAGACGTGGTCCCAGACACAGCCTTCTGATCCATATGTTGTTACCATTTGAAGCAGGCCTCTCTGCTCCAGGGTAATGTTTAGGGGATGGTTTCAGCACGTTTTTATTCTTTTGTCCCCAAAATCTGCATTTCATCCAAGACTTACCGCTCCTTGTTCTTTGTCTCAGTCACTAACAAGATGTTTCCTTCCCACCAAATTTTCAACCCTTTCCTCAAGATTGTTTTACAGTTCTTAACTTTTGTCTTAGTAGATCCTATTTTGCCAGCTGTGTCAATTAGCCAGGTAGTGTGTCTCCATTTCTGTCATGGATCAAGTGCCTCCATTTCAGAGCTAAGGAGATTCAGGAGTGAAATCTCCTCCTTCAAAACAAAGATTCTCTTTTACCTCTGACATGATGCTTTGAAGCCTGCCTTTACCAAGACATGTTTCATTCCTCTTTCGCATAGTTTTCTGTGTGACCACAAACACCATTGCGGCCGCTGTTTCAGATGATGCCTCTTGTCCAGGCTAGTACCTTGTACTACTGCTCTAGCTGCTGTCTTGTTCGAGAGGAAGGAGCTGTTCTCTAAAGGGTGGATTGTCTTTTTTTGTTATATCTTGGATCCCGTGTTTCACACAGTAGTGTCTCATGTAGGGTAGGGATCATAGGGTCTGCTGATAACAGCAATCACAGTCCATCATACAGAAGAAGATGCTGAGTTATAGTTTTGGTTCTAGTGTAATGGTACCAATTTCCATTGCGGGGAAATATATTAATATGATGCTTAACATGAACTTCTTGTTAGCAATAACTGAGGTGAGTATAAACAAATCTATATAATACTCCACAAGTTAGCTGTATAAAATATAGCAGATATTATCATAATACCATCTAATAGCTTTACATAGAATTAAAATGATCTTTTTGGACATTCGGTCATCTTCAGCTCTTCAAGGAAGTATTCCCCTAAATGAAATAAATTCAACTGTCTGATAACTTTGAATGAAGCAATTAGATTGCCTAGTAATACATGAAAAGAAAATAATATAGTCACTTTGGGAATCTTATGCTGAAAATCTACAGGTAGGAGATCTGATTTTGCTCAGAAAGCAGGTGTTGCTGTAATCTTTAAAAAGAGTATGTGTTCTCTAACAACAGCTATGCTGGGTGCCCCCCTCAGACCCAAATTTTTAGGGAAACATCTTTTCTGGACTACAGACTTGTCTGAGAGTGACTGGGGAGAACTCTGCTGCACAGCTAAGTTCTTTCAATTACTCTTGCTGTTAACACACAAACACTTTTTTGGTCCAGAGGCTGAATGCTACTGTGCTCAGACTGTGGCTCCCTTGACCTTCTTTCTGTTAAATTTGAGACCTGTTTTACTAGAAATCTTTCATCCTGCTCTTCCAGTATAGGCCATTATGGACTAATCAGATCATCTCTCCAGTCTACCTAAGAGGAGATGAGTTTTTTTCAGTCTTGGACTTTAGGGTAGATTTTCCAGGCTTCAGCTAAGCCCTGTGACTCTTTCCTGACCAGCCGCTTTCCAGATCTGCATCCTGCACTGTTCCAGGCATGGTCTTGCCAAAGTGCTTTGCTGATTTTCTGCTGTACGTTTATCCAAGTACTGAAGTGATCTTTCCTTCTCCCTTCCTGCAAGTTCCTGTTTAGTTGATTATTTGCCAGAGACTCTTCTTTCAGTCCCTGGTGAATGTAGCTCCTTCTCCTCAAAATGCAGCATATGCTCTCATTCCCTCATGCAGCAACTTGCATTTGGTTGTATTGAAGAATACACATTGTTCTGTGGAGCCCAGCTTCCCATGCTTTCCAGATTGCTCTGCATCATTTCTTTCTGTCAGGCTTCTTATATCACACACAATCAGTATGACATCTGAGCCTCTCTTGCTGGCGAATGGAAATCATAGTAAATATTTAGTAGTCTGTGCAAAATGAGTTGGCGGTCTCAATTCAGCTCCTTTTAGGCAGGTGTCTGCACATATTCCTTAAGACCACTCTTACATTTGGCACCTCTTACTGTGCTCCCTGGAGGGCCCAGCAGCAGGATTCAGGGCTCTATCCTTCACCCGCAAAAACCCATGGCAAGGCTTCCAACAATTTCAACAACATCACCTCTATCCCTCGGAGAAACCCAAACCCCCATGGGCTCTCTCTCCCTTCTAATCAGGACAAAGCTGA